CTAGTCTGTGCAAGATTCATGTTAATAAACAAATGAAACCACGAAGAGAAGAGCAAGGAAACGCACGAATATGCCAAAGCCATTTCCACTTCATTGCTCCTTCAGAGTACTTATAACTCGCCATTTCTGTCCTAAATCGTAGGATATTGCATTTCTTAAATACCAGAAATTTACTAGTTGACAAGCAGTGCGGCTACCGAAAGGGACGCCAAACTCTTGATCAACTAGTAAAACTGGAAAGTCCTATTCAAGGGACATTTGCCAAAAAACATTTTTTTAAATTTCAGTTTTCTTAGATATAGAAAAATCCTACGACGACATGACATGGCAATATCGCCCACTCAAAAAACAATGTCACTTTTTCGGACATTTTTGTCCAGGCAAACGGGATCCCATAAGGAAGTATCTTGTCGCCAATATTATTTCTATGTATGATAAATGACATCTTACCAGCTACCCCTCGGAATTTTAAATACTCAGTGTATTTATTCCAGCAGCAATGCAGAATTCTCTGCAAATGGCACCCAACTGGCACTGGATATGATTCATAACTGGGGCCTCCAGTGGGGTTTTGTGTTTTCCACAAGAATGAGTATTGGGGTATTTCTTTCCACGTAGAAAGATGCTAAACCTCAGGCAAACTTTATATTATCACCCAATACCTATTCAAAATTCAGCTAAAAATTTTGGTCTACTCTTTGATCGTAGACTCAATTGAAAAGACCACATTGGTCAATTAAAGAATAAATGTCAAAGAGCACCAAATTTATTAAGGTGAATTTCTGGTAATAAATGGGAGCTACCAGAATGATATATAAAGCTAATGATATATAAAGCCCTTAATAGGTCTAAAGTAGATTATTGGTCAATCGTGTATGACTCGGCATCAAACACAATTTTGAAAGGTCCTCGGATCGAGCGTCTTGAGGTGGAGTCGGGAGTACCTAACCTATGCCGCAAAGGTGGCTCGAGACCCGAGCCATCCTAATGGCAATGGAGGCATTAGACCCTTTGCCACGCGACTCCTCGACCTCGAAGAGAAAGTCGGTATAGATCTCTACCATCGATATCCTGATTCAGTCAAACATAGCGCCATGGGAAACCCCCCAACTTTCCCATCATGGAAGCCTATATATACCGACGGCTCCAAGGCAAATGAGGGTGTGGTTGCGTGTGTATGGTCGTTCAGACTGCCGAATCATGCATCGGTCTTTCTTGCTGAACTTTTTTGGCAATGAACAGACTGACAAATTAGCCGGGTCGACTGGTGATCTGGACCTTAGCATAGTTCGTACAGATCTCAGGTGTTTTGTGTCTCTTATAAAAGCAAAAATACATCTGAGGCAAAGTGAATGGACCAACCTAGACATAAACAACAAATATAAAACAATAATAGGAAGACAGCCCACGGTAAAAGAAGTAAACGTCGCAAAAATCACACACCTCACGCCATATATATATAAAAAAAAAACACCACAATGCCCCCATTGTACAACTCACCTGACAATAACCCATCTTTTACTAACCTGCCATAAATACAGCAACAATAGACAAACTTGAAAAAATTTATATTGCAGAATCAAAAATATACCCTTTACAACATCCGACAATTGAAAAATAATACACAAAGTAATCGCTTTTCTAAAGGAGACAAAACTGTATGACCTTAAAAAGATATAGTGAATAGGATCCATTGGCTTAATAACCTTGGCCACATGCCGCTGGTTGATAGCCAAGAAATCCAACAAAGAAAGAAAAGAAAAGATCTTAAATCAGTCATCGCCAAACCATAGACGTCAAAGAACCCGACATTAGATCCCCGCTCTTAATACATCCATGATGACGCCGAAATGGTTCAAATGGTTCATCTGTCTCGGATCACAGGCCTTCTCCAGCGTCCTCCCTCGCCCGTCCTTTACCTTGACGCCTGACCTCGAACTTTTGCTTTGCTACAGATCTTTTCCATGTTTTCAAGTTCTTCCTGAGCCTCTTCTGTTGACCACTTTCGGCACAGATGTTTTTTTCCCCTCCTGTACCCTCCCTTTCTGTGTTTAGTGATATTTTACACCCATATTTTACTTAAAATGTTTTTTTTTTATCTAAACCATGTTTATATTTAAATATATTTGAGTAAAGGTATATATGAATGTATGTATGTATGTGCACATATATGTGTGTGTGTGTGTGAGTGTGTGTGCGTGTGCGTGTGTGTGTGTGTGTGTGTGTGCGTTTGTGTGTGTGTGTGTGTGTGTGTGTGTATGTGTGTGTGTGCGTGCGTCCGTGCGTGCGTGTGTGTGTGTAAAGAAGCTGAATTACATTTTTGACAAAGACAATACCCCCGTCGCCACCCGTGAAAATCACAATGTCACCCATTTATATAAAGGTGCACAAGGTCGGAGCGAAGTCCACGTCTCTGCCCTTCATCTCCCCACGATTCACGCGCGGAATCCCGATGAGGCCCTGTCTTGTCCCCGGGCAGTGCCATCCTCTTCACCCAAGTGCCACCTCCCGTATGTGCAGGACGCTCTGGCTGGCCGGTTCGTCAAAACTCCTCCTTTCGGAAACAAACACTTGATCTTGAACTCGGAGGGAAATAACACGGGACGACTGGTAGAGGGATGGTATTTTGCTGAGAGTGAGTAGATTTTTTTTATATATAGCTTCGTGTTATGTTTTTTTTTCTAGATTCGTGGCCCGATGAAGAACACAAAAAATAATCTTAAGTTTCATTTTGGTGGGTATTCCTTTGCACTGTCGCTTTTAGATTCAAAGACAATAAATGCAACTTTTTTGTAAACATGAACCCCTCTTTTTCCAAAATTCGGCACTTTGGTGTAATAGCCAGATTTCTAGCCTAAGGCGACAATCGGCCAAAATACTTTTTGTGTCATGAATAATAACACATATAAGAGTTATAAATGAAAGATAAATTCTTGTATAAAATATTTTCATTCGTCATAAGAAGAGCAATTCCCATTAGTCTCTGTCATCATATTAAGAAAAGGATAAAATGGGGAAAAGAAGAGACAGACAGACAAAGACAGAGGCAGAACGTTATTGCTAACTCATAATAGCGTTAGTCGTATGTCTTAAAATTCAGTACATTGATATAAAGATAATTTTAAGCTAAAGTCAATATAACTTCAGTTTTTCAAGAAATACCCGCCTTTGCCATGATTTAGTACATTTGTCTTCAAGTTCCACGACGCTCTATATCTTTCATTAATTAAAATAAACCTCTGTCTGTCCCAGTATATATCAGTGAACGGCAAAGACTACAAACTGGTGTGCTGTAATATGTTAATAACGTCATACAGTGGCAGTGTAGATTTTGTATGATTGTAGTTATTAATGAGTATTCTTGGAACTAATGATAAAATCAGAAAGTTTTAATCGGTTAAAGCTTAGCCTAGAATAACTACGACTGAGCATACTGAAAATAACAAATCAATATTTTTCTCGTTATCTAATATTTTTTTTACAGTTGTTACAATACGAATCATTAAAGACATTGTTTTAGTAGCGAGTGAAGAATTAGTGTGAGCTTTCCTTGTGTTTTGCATACATGATGGGCAATATAGCATTTAATCACTAGCTTCTAATGGAGTTACAAAGAAATCATTCCTATTACAAGAAACCAAGGATAAACTTCTGACGTTTCATAATCATCGCCTATTTGATTCATTGTTATATTTTTTATTGATTAATAAGCCTATAACAAGTAACCAAAGGTCCACGCGACCTGCCAGGCTATCAACATAAAATATCAGTTGAATTTTCACTTAGGTTATATGCTACGTGCAACAATGTAGCATTGCTGCTTTATTTAGCTAATGTGAAAGTAAGAAAAAAAACTATCGGAAAGAAATAAACGAACAGCAGATACACAGTCACGACTGTACAGAGAACATGAGAATGAAAAGTGATTCAAACGACAGATAATAAAAAAATAAATAAAAATAACGGTGTTCTCATTGGCATAAAGATACAACATTGCTCAAAGACAAAAAGTATTTGGCGAATCCCGAGTGACGCCTTAAACGAGGGGATAAAATCTTCGTCTATAAAACATTCTAAAAAAAATAAGAACCAGATTCGTTTAAGATTTTTAGATGATCGGTGAGTTAGGGATGCTACTCGTTAAGTGATTAATGTAAACTGTAGCAGGCGAATCTTCTAGGTAATAAATTATAATTTTTTAAATAACTGTAATGCATAATATCCTACACGTGACCTATGCCAGAAAGATGCATGAATGGTAATTCTTCTGATTATAAACAGTATATTATGTCTGCAACGCAACGCGCTTTCAAATTTCCTAATATAAAAACTTCCCACCCACAGAACACAACAAACATGACAGAGAAAATCTTAATAGAAAAGAACTCCAATGTAAAAATTGTCAATAATGTCGAAAAGGGAAACAGCAAGCTCTCAAACGAAGAACAAGCGTATAAAATTTTGCTGGATGAAGAGGCAATCCAGGACACGAGATGCGGCATCGGACCGTTCAGATCCAGGTGGCTGCAGGTAAGTCGGATTTCCTTCTCAGGGTCAGATTAGGTTATCATCATACAGTATATCAGTCAGATGGTTAAACATCATATCAGTTATCATCATATCAGTCAGGTGGTTAAACAGATTGGACGGGATTTTTCTCTTGTTTTCTTTTCTTATATCTATCTTATTTTAGTAAGTGTTGCTAGTTAATTGCATGAAACGGTTGGCTTCTAAATTAGCCATGCCGTTATCCAAAGTATAATGCACTGCGCCATTATTCATCCATAACAGCGGTTCTCAAAATAGTAATAATTACCTCATTTGGGATTAAAAACTATATTTTCGCTGGAGTAATATCATTAAAGTAATGTTTGCAATTGCATTAAACGTTGTTGAGCAGAATTACGGATAAAACATTTGTGCATGAAATATACAAACTTGGACTTTGCATACATGACTTTATTCGTTGAAAAGTAGAACGTTACGAGTACTTTGAACTCGTCAGATTTTATATAAGGGTAAAGCTGGTAAGTTTAAGAACTACTGATCTATACCAGCGTTCTTCAAAACTTTTTTCATCACAACCCAGTTTGATGTTGTACACTACCTTCACGACCCAGTATGTCCATTCTGTCGTACGTCTCTCTATCAATTCGATATCGATTCATATATATATATATATATATATATATATATATATATATATATATATATATATATATATATATGTATGTATATATAGTATGTGGCGACCCAGTACTGGGTAGGGACCCGTACTTTAAAAATCCCCAATCTCTACTATCAACGGTGAGTTCCACCATTTCCTTTGTGTATAAAAGAAAGTCTGATTCTAGTTGCTCTTGAATTTTAATAAAGAGGAATGAGGAAAAACGCTCCCATTTTACAAAGAGAACCAACAAAGTTCTTATTTAAGACGCCAAAGTACCAAATTCACTACGTTATTATACAGATGTAAATCTTCTCACTCGCACAGTTCCTGGCGCGCAAGGAGGTTTACTTGATAGTGTACTGCTTAGTGGGCCTCACCAACGGCATGTTCTTCACCTACAGCGTTTCCGTTATCTCGACAATTGAGAAGAGATTCAAGCTCACTAGCAAGCAAATGGGTAGGTGGTATTAGTGTCTTTTCGTTCGTCGATGCCCGTCTTGTTAGGAACTTTTTAGGGAAAAAAATGAATGTTTATATCAGCTTAGTTTACTGTATGTAACGAATAAACAAGTCTGGTTAAAAGTATAATCTGGATGCTGAGTGATTGTATTTTCCTCGTCTCCAAGCCTTCCCTTCAAAACTAAATGGATTCTTTGCGGAATGAGAATTCAGGTTAGCCAGGGGTCTGATATTATAGCTGATCAATCTGGCGCAAGTAATTGAATCGTCTCGTTTAACTGAGCCTTTCCTCTGAACCAGGTACCACGCTCATAGGCAACGACATCTCCCAGGTAATCCTTGCGATTTTCTTGGGCTACTATGGCAATTTCGGCCACCGCCCACGATGGATGGGCGTGGGCATCATGACGGCGTCCATGTCGGCTTTTGTGGCGGCCATTCCTCACTTTATCTACGGCCCAGGTCAAGACGCAATTGACCTCGTTGAGGAAACAAGCGCTAATCTTCTCGGCACTTACAAAGAATTTAACAAAACGAGTAAGTGACGGTTTTGACGGTAAACGGTTAGGGTATCCTCCCTTGTGGATGGCCTACTTACAAGTTGTTTGCATCATAACAAAAATGATATATATATGTATTCTTAAACAACATAAAAAACATCGAAATACAAGGCCTTAACGGATATGATTTTTATTTCCCACTTGTCCACTTCCATCCATAACCATCAACCTTATGTTTCGCCTGTTAGAGAAAGTGGAGTTGTGCTACTCTCAGCCCGAGGACACATGCAACGCGGAGAACGGCGGCGGCGGCGGCTCCATCATAGCGCCCGTGATTTTCCTCTTCTTCTCGCAGTTCCTCGTGGGCATCGCTGTTAGCATATTCTATAGCATAGGAGTCACGTACCTCGATGACAATATCAATAAGAAAACATATCCTATCTATTATGGTTAGTATGTATGCTGGATATCCACCTTCAGATTATGGTTTGGAATATGGAAATACGAAAACAAATCTCTCGTTTTAGCTTGCTTTATAAGTCCAAGTGACATACTTCGTTTACCTTCTAACACTTGCTGACATTAATTCTCAAAGGAATATTTACCTAGTTTATCATTTTTTTTATTATTTACGAGACATATATTTCCTTTAAACAGCGGCCACCTTGTTGCTAAGGATCCTGGGCCCGGTCCTCGGATACCTTTCGGGGGGCAAGTTCCTCTCCATGTGGATCGACCCTACATACAGCCCGAACCTGAGCAAGCGAGACCCACGGTGGCTGGGCGCTTGGTGGCTGGGTAAGCTGCATGACGAAAAAATGAAACATAAATCACACACACACACACACACACACACACACACACACACACACACACACACACACACACACACAAACATAAGCATTAACATAAACAAACACATCCACACGTCTTCCAAAGTTCCTAACGATCCAACTCAATCAACTGAACAAACGGACCGCGCTCGTAAATCTTTTACTCTCTCCCCCGAACACACAGGGTATCTGGTGATTGGAAGTGTCCTTCTTATCTCCGGCAACTTGCTCTTCCTCTTCCCGCGGAAACTGCCCGAGGCGGTAAGGAGGGAAGCGAAGAAAGTGGCGAGACAGGTCGAGAAGGACGCGGAAGAGGGAGGCAATCGAAGCGTGGAATACTTCGCGGCGTTGATCAAGAAGAAGAAAGTGGAAGAGAGACCGACTTTGGACAGTGAGTTTGCTGGGGGGTTTTATTCGTTTTTTAGTTTGTTTGTTTTTCTTTTTACTTGTTTCTGTTTTGCGTTCTCGGTTTCTATTGGTTTGTCTGGTTTTCTCTATATTTCTCTCTTGTATGTTTTGCTCTTTTTTTCTCGCACTCTCGTTCTCCCACTCTTGTCTTACCTCATTAATCCTCCTCCTTTCTCTCTCTCTCTCTCTCTCTCTCTCTCTCTCTCTCTCTCTCTCTCTCTCTCTCTCTCTCTCTCTCTCTCTCTTACTTTCCCCAGACTCCTTCACTCCGTCCCTTTCTGTCCTACTCCCTCTCTCCCTCTCTCCTCTTTCCCCATCCCAGCGGGTTCTATGCTTCACCCTACTCCCACCATGGCGATATACTCGCTTTCACACCATCGATATGCACAATGTAGAAACCATCTCTCTCTCTACAGATCTGAGGAAGGCCCTGAAACGCTTATTCACGAACAAGATCTGGATGGGCAACCTCTTCAACACGTGTACCATCGTCCTCGCCATGTCTTGCTACTGGAACTTCAAGCCTAAGTACCTCGAGAATCAGTTCAGGAGGAGTGCGGCTGAGGCCAATTACTATACAGGTGGGTTTGGCTTGCGGTGTTCGTTGGGTCAGGTCTGGATTCGGGAATTTTTTTTGGGGGGGGAGAGGGGGGGTTAAGTCTGAGAGGAGATATAAGTCTTTGGTTAGATTGAGATATCTGCTGACTTTTTTAGACTTTGCGTCTTTTATTTGTCATTATTCTCATGAACAGGTAAATTGTAGTATATTTTGTTTATATACTGTACTTAGAGGGTATTTTGAACGGTCCTGTACTTCAGTGTATTAACAAGAGTACAGCATTTTGTGCACAAAGTCTAAAAGCATCAGTCAAAAACCTCAGCCGTTGTGACTCAGCCCCCCCCCTCCTGCAGGTGTTGCCAGTCTGGCCTCAGTGTCCTTAGGCACGGCGTTGGGCGGCGCCATCATGCGCTGGGTGCGGCCCGGTCCCCGATTCGTCTCAGGATACAACATCTTCATCACCCTCTTTACCTGCGCCGGGTTTATTGTCCTGATGTTCATCGGCTGCGAGAAGCTTGAGATCGTTGGCCCTGTCGGCAGGTATTTTGGGTATCTCTTTCTGTCTCACTCACTCACTCTTTCTCTCTCTCTCTCTCTCTCTCTCTCTCTCTCTCTCTCTCTCTCTCTCTCTCTCTCTCTCTCTCTTTCCCTCTCTCTCTCTTTCTCTCACTTTTTCTTTCTTTTTTTTTCATTTTCTCTCTCTCTCTCTCTCTCTCTCTCTCTCTCTCTCTCTCTCTCTCTCTCTCTCTCCCTCTCTCCCTCTCTCCCTCTCTCCCTCTCTCCCTCTCTCCCTCTCTCCCTCTCTCCCTCTCTCCCTCCCTCACTGTATGCTTCTCTACTCTTTAATATGACCATTTATATTTTGATCTACCTCTAAGTACAGATGAGTCCTTAAATATATCACGAAATCCTAAATATCTAGAACCTCCATTCAACAAAATCATCCTCACTGACGTACGAAATGTTACAAAAAACATGTTACAAACTTGCTCCTCTTTTGCAGCCAAACGGTCCCTTCTTGCTCGTCGGACTGTGGCTGCACGGACAAGTTCTCGCCGATGTGCTCTGAGGACCAAGGGACACTCTATTACTCGCCTTGCTACGCCGGCTGTACCGTTGCTAATACGACTGTTAGCCCCATTGTAAGAGGAAGATTAATGAGTAGAAAGATATATATAGAACTCGCAAGGAATTAGCACACATTTGTATATACACATATGTATGGTATGGGGGGTACAAGCTGGAATTTCAAAGAGTGAGACAGCGTAGAGGTGGTATATGCACTACATGGGGAAAGTTTGTATATATGTATATATTATACATATGCATATATTGCGTGTGTGTGTGTATATACATATAAGTATATATATATGTGTGTGTGTGTGTGTATGTGTGTGTGTGTTACAGAACCAATAAATCTTACATTTTAATAAATCGATGGATTACAAAATCGTACCTGAATATTTGGCGGATGCATTTCCCAGCATCTCAATAAGACTCCAAGGGCATCGACTTCTCGCTGATTACTTAATTTCTTTCGTTTCCAGGCCTACAGCGAATGTTCCTGCATCACGAATGCCACCGCCTTCGTGTCAACACCGAACCCCGTCGTTAATATTTCGTACACGCAGGTTAGGCGCGTCTTTTCTCGTGCAGTTATATTATCTCTTCTTCGCAATCTTGCCTTTTCTCGTTTTACATGGAACTTGTATTATGAAGTTATGAAATGGAATATGCAGTGATACATCATCAACAAGGACGAATATTTGCAACATGTAAAAGGGTATCGGAATCCACTAAGGAAAATCATTGTATTGGGCGTTACTTTTATGAATCATAAATTTATAATTTGTCTCACTTCGTTCCCATTTGGTATCGCTCTCTCTAGGATGGACAGAAGAGTATGTTTGGTGGAGGCACAAGCAGCTACTGCCCTGAACCATGCAACAGTTTCTTCTATTACCTTATTGTGCAAATTGTGATCAAGACAGTTACTGCTACTGCCAGAGTCAGCAGCAGCGTCATTCACTTACGGTATGTGGATTCAAAAGGTGGTACTGGTGGATATATTTAAATCCGCGTGAATCTAAAAAGTTAAATTTGTTTTAATTCTATTAAAAACATTTATTATTGGAATATATATGGTTCAGCAGCCTTGACGATTTCCTTTTATTTAACATTGAATAGTGTTGTATCATAGTACTACAGTATCTGCATTTTGTACAAGAAACAATGTGCTAGACTAATTTCATTTCTTCATGTCAGTCGAAAAGAGTTTCTAATCTTTACTATTTAGCAGTTGATCTTTAATATTATTGGTCTTTATACTGTCCGTTTTTTCCTGTATATATGAATACTTTCGACCTTACAGTTATGCCACTGCCGATGCTATTTTTACTACTACCAATTTTCAACAGTTAGGTCGCAATTTCTTTTGGTGCATCTATTGGCAGCACAGGCAATATGAAGATTAAAAAACTGCCTTTCATTTAAACCTAATTTACAATAACCAAAACCTTTAACCCGGCAGCTCCGTGGAGGACAAAGACAAAGGAGTCGCCTTGGGAGCTCTGACAGCTTTCCTCAGCTGTTTCGGGCTCATTCCTGGACCCATCATCATGGGAGCCGTAATAGGTTTGTGGCTGTGCAGCGTGTATACACCATGAATGTTGTCTGCCTGAAAGGGTGTAGCAGTCAGCGCATGTGTATTGTATATATAAGTAATCCAGTTTCTGTTTAAAATCATTTATACCATCGTATATTCACAGATTCTACCTGCTTGCTGTGGGACATGTCCTGTGGGAAGAGAGGAAATTGCTGGTTGTATGACTCGGACACGTTTAGGCTGGCCATACATCTGATCCCTGCGGGTGAGATTTTAATCCAGGGTTATACAGAACACATTCTAAAAATGGAGTCACGTACCGGGAAACTAAGTTCAGAGAACGTGCTAGTATTCCCGCCTGGCCTATGATGTAATTTCCCTATCTGTTCCCTTTTTCCCCCCGACTCCTTTCCATGATTTATCGCCCGAAACACCAGGCGTCGGGTGCCCGAGTGGCTGAACACGGGTTCTGGGTTTGACTTTTCTTTCTTTCTTTTCTTTTCTTTTTAGGAGGAACGGAAATCTGAGTAGGTTGCAGTTATTTTTTCGCACTATAAATGATTAGGCACCAAATCACATATACTCCCAGTAAACCTTAATTATGTGATAATACGTTCGTCTATTTCATACAGTGCATGAATTTGACAAATCGATGCATTCTAAGATTTTTTTCAGTCTGACACTGTTTCTGCACATTGAAAAGAAAAATTATTCCAGAAAATAAAATACTCGCATTAACTTTCATCGGGCATAAATTATTGTTTGCCATGTTCCTTGATTTTATGATTCTGTCATGTGGCGCCCATTTCTATATCCCCTCTGACCATTCTATTAATTCTATCCTCAGTATTCACCTTCATCTCGGTGTTCGGCGACATCATCGTGTTCTACTACAGCCGCCAGCTCGACCTGTACGGCGAAAGGGACAACGAAATCAAAGAAGAGAAAGAAGCGGGTGAAACAGTTGAATCGAAACCTCTGAACGTGGTCGAAGAGGAAACGATCGACTCCACAGGGACGAGTGATATGGTTCTAAGTGGTTGATCACATTTGTCCTGTAATGAAAATGTCTGAAAACTATAGTGATTTAAAGACTGTTTTTCAACAATGCGGCGTCACATTTTTGCATAACATTTAGAATTGATAAAAAAGTGTACAGGCGAAATATAAGTATACTTCAATTCCGTGTTCATAACGAATAGAGATCCATAAACGGAACAAATAATCAAGGACGACTAAAGGTACACGAGATGCCTTGTTTTTTATTTGGAATAGGAAAGGTACAAAGAGTAAAATATATAAATCACACACACACGCGCGCGCGCGCGTATATATATATATATATATATATATATATATATATATATATATATATATATATATATATATATATTTGATAAACTGAAAACGGATATTCATCGGTAATTCTCTCTTTCTCAACACGTCTGCCGTAACTGTTCTGCCTGATTGTATAATCTGTTTCGTCCATGGTCAGGTAAACAAAATTATCACATAATTTCAGTCTTGTTAATGTAAGCTTTTCGTTGTCTTGTGTTGCATTTCCCACAGTTTCAGGGACCGGGGTAGTGTTTTTGTACTTGGATCTTTGAATAACCTTCTCGTTTATGAAGTTATTTGAGGACATTGTGTTCTTGTTGTTTGGATTTAGGGTCCATTGACTACCACATTTTTATTCTATAAACGGATTTTCCTTTTATTTGTTTTCCTTTTCGACAATAAATGTGGTGCATGTCAACCAGCGCAAATCCACTTAATATCACACAGAGCTGGCATCTAAATGATATTTTACTGATAAATAACACTTTCGTTTTGTGATATCTGTACAAGAACCAATAAATTCTGTAAACTATTTGTGTTGTTATTTATGACCCTTTAAACACAAAACAATGCGTATGATATTGTACCTTATACTGTAAATCGATTACCCAGAGCAGATGACGCTGCAACCAACCTGTTTTCAGTTGCGAGGCTCCCCAATGGTGACTCGCCTGGCAAGGGTCCGAGCCATCTCAGCTTCCATATGCCAGGTTTGATTGTTATGTCCAACTCACGAATCTTGGTCATCATACATGTCTCCTTTACCCAGGATGGTTTCTGAGGTATAAGATTATCTTCAGGGAACTGACCATAGTATCCATAGTAACTGCAATAGGGTTTATATTGGTCTAGTGAACACATGTCCCTGCCGATTTTATCTAATGATGCAACGAAAAGAAATGTTGCAAAAGAGGTCGAGGAAAGTCTGCACAGTACAGGACATTGTGAAACAACGAAACTGGTGATATCAGAGTCTTAAGGACACAGCTTGATCTTTCTGCACCAGTACTATCATATCTAAATACTCTTGTCGAGCGTTCTTGACTCAAGCCATCAGCGTAGTCCATCTGTTGAATGCTTGGGCTGAGAGCACAGCATGAACTACACTATGAAATGTAAAACTTGGGTGATGACAATGCCCGTGCCGTAATCACCACCGAGAGCATCCACAAGATAAGTTATCAACATTGGCAATCAACCTTCATATTACCCCATCACTGGTTCCTGATGCGTCTCACAAGGATGCGACCGAGTAGCTTGCCAATGTAACGCCTCAATGCATTCCAGACAGGGATGGCTATACCCCTCTGCTGGTCGTAGGGAATGATACCAGAATGATAAATGGCAGTCAGGACATCATACGATCCACTGGTTATGAGTTCACCATCAGACTGCACTCAACGAGGATGTCGCGAATACACGCTGTCTCAGTTGGGCTATTTTTAGCTGATGAGTTTTTCAAGCTGTAGGACATCATCCACGTCCATGCAAGGATGCAATGGCTCCACCTTAAGCAATTGTTCATTGTCCATAGCCTAATACTCTTGCACAATATAAGATACTAGGATAATCTTGCCTTCAGTTGGGTGAATTGATTGATTATTCAAAATTATCTGCCGCGTCAACAGCTAAGATCATTAGCGGCGCCAGTTGGGTGAAGTGTAGACATCTGTCGAGAAGACTTACCATTCACTTTTCTCGGGACTTGGTAAGCGAGGCTAAGGTCATTTACTTCCTCAGCAAAAACCCTCATGTGCTGTTCATTGCCCCTCCGTCCAAGTCCTATAAAGCAGGACTGATGCAAACCCTATCTCCAGCCAGTAAATTCTATGTAATCGCCAGTAGAACCCTGGGCTTTTTGTTTTGTCTTATACGTCTGAAGCAGGGGTGTAGTGGGGGGGAACGCATTCCCCCAGCAATTTTTCTATAAGTTTGTGAAAAACAATTGGCAATTTAACTGTGTGGTAACGCGAAAACTACGATTTTTTTTTAAGGAGAAAAAAAAAATCACCATTTTTGCAAGTCCCGTCCATTTACAAGACAACCCGAAAACCGCAACTTCTATGACGCAAGTTCACATGTTTCAACTATCCCTTAGCACTTTGTCAGCCATCTTGAATATTTGGCATTGATTTGAGTTTGCGAGTGCGATTCGTCTCCTGCTTCATTTTTTTATTGTGTAAGTTTCTGTCAGAGTTTTTCCCCCTTTTGGTTGTTATGCCTTCGAGTGCGAAGAAGCGGAAGCGATGCTCTCCTCCGAAGATCACAGCATTTTTGAAGAAGCCTAGGTCTACAGATATTTGAACTTTTTACTTTTTTATATATTTGTTATTCTCTTTTGTATTCTTGTATTATTGGCTATTTTTTAACTTTGTTATTGTATCATACTTTTTATTGTTGTTGGATAATTTATAGTTTTTTATATTTGTATTCTGTTTTGTATTCTTGCATTGTTGGCCTTACTATTTTTTCAATTTCAAATAACCATTGTATTATTGTTGGATATTTTTATATGTTATAGATATATTTCTTTCTTATGTAACGGCTTCTGTCTGCGGTTTAGTTCTGAATTCCTGGTGCTGCGCACTTTGTTACTTTGCTGATCCATTTCGAGTCTTGTGATTTTACGCTGCTGTATGATTTTTTTTTCTTACGAATTTGTGTTATTATATTTTGTGTATTCTCAATATATTCTCTTATATTATGGCTCAAAATTTTCGACTTTTTCTTATTTAGGTCTCACGTAGGGGGGGAGGGGGGTATTGGCGCAGTATAAAAATAGTCAACCAAGTTTGCCGGCAGCGTTCCCCCAGCGATTTTTTTTACCACTACACCCCTGGTCTGAAAGTCTCAGTGGTTTGAGTCTGTTAGGTTATCAAACGCTATGAATCGACTATGAAATAAAGTCCTGGCTGTCTGCCCAGGTGAAAAAAATGAGGTGGTCTCTAGATGAACAGTTTTGAAATGATCTCGGAGGAAAGCCCTAAAGTTCTTCATGAACATCCAACGAATGTTCACAAGAATGCAGTCAGTCTCCTTAGCTTCATTATCCCCATCATTATGCCAGGCCTGGTGATGTAGTTAGGGGTGTTTTTATCTGAAGCCATCAGTCCTCTACAAACGTCTAGTGTGGAATTGAATAAATTATGTTATTCGTTTTCGAATTGTAAGCTTCAAAAACCTCTATAAAAATAGATATAATTTTTCTTTTCACGTACTTATCTATTGAAGTTGCAGACATGACTCATGATGTCAAACCGTTTTTTTTTTTTTTTTTGAATTGCCTTAATATTTTACATTCTGATTACTTCTCCCATCAGCCAAACACACCCTTGTGAATTTGCAGTTTGACTCACATGATGTTCAGTCTGAAAGATGGAGAATATTTTTCCGTTCATAGGACATCCTACAGATGCAGTCGTGCTTGTCTAGCACAAAGTTGTAAATAATCTTCAGAAATGAAACCCCTTCACTCCAGAAATTCAAATGAAAACGTATGTATACATGCTCTAAAATAGATAACTTTAAATTATACTCTTTTGTACATTTGCATTCAGCAGTTGCTCAGTGCAATTTTATTTATTGCTTAATTTCCAATATTTTTATCATCATTTGCCTTTGTACATCCTGTACTATTGAAGTATTGTTTTTTGGCAATTCATTATTACTAAGTTTATTTTGAATACTATATGCCTTCATGTATTTTCAAAGGACTCAGAATTATCAACAAGCACTAATTTGCTCTTGTACATTTTATAAAACATTTCCTGGTAAGCAAGAAATAAAAATGCTTTTTATGGCAAAGGGTCACTTCAGTAAATTCTCTAGAGTATAAATCATACTTACTGAATTCAACTATCTTGGTCAAATATTTGTCATCAGCAGAATGTTTCAAAATGTGGGAACTGTCAATGAACATGATTCACATGTGTAATATTTTAACTTCTGTGAACATATACTGGATTAATATACTAATACATGTACAAATTTTTAAAATTCAGTACTTTCCTGCAATAAATGTTTCTGTATGCAAGATTGAAACTGATTGAACATGTTGATATTTTAAAAGTGCAAAGAATCAAGGCCTTTTTTATTTTTTTTTATTCATTCAAACCTGCCCACAGCATCAAATGGCAAATAAGAGGAGCATTAAAACATGCCATACAACAGCATTTCTTTATTATAGATATTCATATTTCTTTGTTTGTCCCAACACCCAACACCAAGTCTCACATGCCAGTCACATGAGACCATCACTCAACACAGCCACGTGTAATATCTACTCCGAAAAAAGGAGTTCTCTTGACGTGGGTATTTGCTTTTATTCTTATTTCACTGTGTACAGTCTACCAATGGAAAGTAGAAGGCAAATAGGCAGTTCTGTCCCTAATAACAGCATAAAACCAGCAATGCATGTTTTCTGCTAGTTCTGATTTCACTCAAATTCATTGGGTCTTATGGACTTCATTGCTTCTAACTAAAAAACAAAAATCTCTTCTTTAAATTAACTTTTAGATTATACTCCTTTTTTCTCTGACCATATTTTCTGAAACATAAAAGGTTGTATACATGCTTAGAATACATTTTTAAAAATTATTTGGACCACTGTGATAAAATGTAACTGACCAAAGGATGTGTCAGGATAGACAAAAGTAAATAAATACATTTCATGCTCAAATGAAACACTTCTTGATGCTGTATGAAATAAAATTACCCCCATTTCAAACCAACTTTAATCAACTAAATAAAATAACATGCGCCAAAGCTGTTTTTGTCTTTGGTTATTCCAGTAGGATTCCAGTAAACAGTTTTAAACCCCAGTAAGAACACAGTGTCATAAAATGCTGAAGAAAATTCCATACATGTTATTCACAGTGGTACCTATAACCATATGCTATGTTATGGAGGAATGTTTCAAAATAACCCATCAATAAATTTCTGAATTATCTCTCCATTACAAAAAGGATACAAAAAAAATCCTATGGTATGTTCCCATGGACCATTACAAAATGAAGTGTTTGTTTAAGAACCATACTAAGAAATAATAGTATAATTATGAAACAGAGGTCTGACCAAGAGAACACCAGTTTACAAAATAATGACTGAAAATATATATGTATCTATATATGAATTTCTTCACTACCCTTTTTCTTCTAGTGTGTGCAAGCAACAGTTTTTTCTTTACTCTCTTATGGCTGTCCCTGTCGCATATCCTCATTGCTTTTAATCACACCTACTGTATAGCCGGCGCTGGGTATGTATAAAGAATCGTGCAAAGAATGTAACTAGATGAGAGAGAGAAAAAAAAGTTGAATCAAAGTTTCATGACAATAACTGAATCTTAAGATGATACAAAATTTAAACTTTTTTATACCTTCCTTCAATCACCTCTGCCATCTGATTGAGCAATATATACATTTATATTTTTTTTTGTTATTTAATATTTTTTTAAGCTTTTGACAAAACAGGTACTGAAAAAGATAATTCTTTATATACATCCTTATCACAGGTTTCATGTCCATCTCTTGCTCAATCAATCAACAATTCACTGCAGAGCTATTGCCTCAAATACAAGACAAAATAAAGAAGCAGGATAAATTTTTCTGAGATATGCACAGAGAAAAGTATAAAGATAACAACCAAAATATAATATAAAATTATCTTTAAAAAAAAAATTACATACAATAAACAAATTTCTACCTTGTACGATATTCTCCTGCAATTCTGAAGCCTGTATCTGTGAGAACTAAAAACCTAAATCATAAAAAAATAGCTATGCTTCCATTCCTATTGGATGAGTCTTATCACCCAGTAGAAAAATCAGCCACTGTAGTACGGGGGGGGTCAAGTGATACACTCATGGCACACTAACATCAACGTATGCGCTCAAAAAAGCAACAACAACGGCAACAGAAATGGGTTCACTTATCTTCTTTGAGAACACTGGAATGGAATTTCTGAAGACATCTCTTTCGACTGTAACATAAATCTTTTATGTGCATTCCTGTAATACATTTACTCTCACAAGCTTTAATATATATCCTTACATTCACAAATATTTACACTGTAAGTCTATAACCTTCTTTTATATTTCTTCCTCAAAGTATATGAGCTATATGTGACAATACTCAAATTCAAATGCATGTTGAGAAAAAATATACATATTCATAAAGAAAAAGATAAAATATGCTTACAGAATGGAGAAATGGCATGACACAAAATAAGCTCTGAAAATTTCTCACTTGTTTCCATACAATCATACACCTTGATCTGAATAAATGCTCGTGGGTTAGGGTGACCACCATCCACACCATAGGTGCTGCACCTTACCAATAATAGTTTAATAAACTAAGACTAGCTAACTTTTGAGCAAGAAATGGAATAAATGGCTTTTCCAATACCAGAGGCACCTCTTCAGAAGACTGCTGAGCACTTGGGAACGCATTGTGATGATAGCTATGCAAGAGTCCATCAAATGACTCAACTCTGTACATGTACAAAAACTGTCTAATGCATTTTGAAATGACAATAGAACAAATGCTAATTGTTGGGCTTTTGGTGGAAACTTGTTCTATGAACCAATATAAAACTCCATAAAGACCAGTACTAGTATCAAATTTTGGTGGCAAGACCAGCAACAGTGCAAGAGTTATCTTCCTTGCTAACAGTTATTTCTTTCATGTGGTCACTACCACTCTCCTGTCCTTTTATGATAACACCTACTTTGACCATACTAAGCAAAGTAATGTTCTGGAGTTGGCTAACATGAACCTAGCGTGGTTTTATTATACTTGGGAGGTGTGCTGTTAAAGTACTGTGTGGGGAGTGGATATAATGATGGCAATGATGACTCTGGTTCGTGCCCAAAGTGGTGGACGTGACTGCACATCCACGTGACAAAACTGTGAATCTTTGTCGGCAGGGTTTGGCCCGAAGCTCCGCTCTCTTCTGTTTAAAACACCAAGCCTGGCATTGCCACGCCCGGCACTTCGGACCTCACGGGATCTCTCATCTTCACAAGAAAAATCAGCCACTGTAGTACGGGGGGGGTCAAGTGATACACTCATGGCACACTAACATCAACGTATGCGCTCAAAAAAGCAACAACAACGGCAACAGAAATGGGTTCACTTATCTTCTTTGAGAACACTGGAATGGAATTTCTGAAGACATCTCTTTCGACTGTAACATAAATCTTTTATGTGCATTCCTGTAATACATTTACTCTCACAAGCTTTAATATATATCCTTACATTCACAAATATTTACACTGTAAGTCTATAACCTTCTTTTATATTTCTTCCTCAAAGTATATGAGCTATATGTGACAATACTCAAATTCAAATGCATGTTGAGAAAAAATATACATATTCATAAAGAAAAAGATAAAATATGCTTACAGAATGGAGAAATGGCATGACACAAAATAAGCTCTGAAAATTTCTCACTTGTTTCCATACAATCATACACCTTGATCTGAATAAATGCTCGTGGGTTAGGGTGACCACCATCCACACCATAGGTGCTGCACCTTACCAATAATAGTTTAATAAACTAAGACTAGCTAACTTTTGAGCAAGAAATGGAATAAATGGCTTTTCCAATACCAGAGGCACCTCTTCAGAAGACTGCTGAGCACTTGGGAACGCATTGTGATGATAGCTATGCAAGAGTCCATCAAATGACTCAACTCTGTACATGTACAAAAACTGTCTAATGCATTTTGAAATGACAATAGAACAAATGCTAATTGTTGGGCTTTTGGTGGAAACTTGTTCTATGAACCAATATAAAACTCCATAAAGACCAGTACTAGTATCAAATTTTGGTGGCAAGACCAGCAACAGTGCAAGAGTTATCTTCCTTGCTAACAGTTATTTCTTTCATGTGGTCACTACCACTCTCCTGTCCTTTTATGATAACACCTACTTTGACCATACTAAGCAAAGTAATGTTCTGGAGTTGGCTAACATGAACCTAGCGTGGTTTTATTATACTTGGGAGGTGTGCTGTTAAAGTACTGTGTGGGGAGTGGATATAATGATGGCAATGATGACTCTGGTTCGTCCCCAAAGTGGTGGACGTGACTGCACATCCACGGTGACAAAACTGTTGGAATCTTTGTCGCAGGGTTTGCCGAAGCTCCGCTCTCTTCTGTTTAACAACACCAAGCCGGGCACGCCACGCCCGCACTTCAGCCTCCGGGATCTCCTCATCTTCACATCGGGAATCCTTTCGTAAATAATGAAAGTGTAATTAGCCCACAATCTGCATTATTCAAAAAACACATGAGAGAAAAAAATGCAACATCTTCTTTTACAAGGCCTCTCAAAGTTAGTAATAATCAGAATCAGACCAATAAATATTTCGTATAAACCTATCACAAAAAATCATCAACCTCTATTAAAAAAAATTTAATTGTTGACCTTAGTAAAACTAATTCTCAAGATAACAAAATAAACAATAAACATACTAGAAAAAAAAAAAACATATAAATATAACTTACATCTAGCATCTGTTGCAGGGACAGGGTGAAAGGTTGGGAGTACCGCAGAGGTGACGGTGAGAGTGGGGCATTAAAGTGATCGACATGATCTTCCCCATTATGGTGTTCCCCATCATCTACATGGTCTTCATGGTGGTGCGAACACAGACCTTCCCCACATGCCACCTCTGAGGAGTCCCGAGAGGAGCCTCCTGAACCTTGTGCTGAGCAATAGCCTCCATCACGAGAACCCTGGAAGTTTCCAGAGAAGGTTTTTTGATTCCATTATTAGAATAAAAAGAGGAAATGGCCGGAAAAGAGCAATACTGATCTATTTCATGATTTTCTTAATGTTCACCCAATCAAAACTTGTAAGTCCATTGCAGCTTTCCTTCCAGCACATTTGATTTTCACCTGCACTTACCTGTGAGCATCTAGAAACTAATGAATCTGTTGACGCGGTGCACTCTAAGGGGTGAGGGGAGTCCCGGTGCTGACAATGGTGATGACTTTGGTGTTGGTGGAGTTGATGATGATGGCGGTAAGGATCTGGGCTAGAGTCACAACTCTCCTTTTCTTCGCTGCTGCCTCTTTCACTACCTATATCATTGACGCCAAGACTACCGCATTCACTGCTGCATCTTGGTATAACCCCTGCCCCTTCTGAAGGTATATGGCTACTTCCCAGGGAATTACTTAAATGAGGGCTTCCCAGCGGGGGGCCTAAATGCGAGCCCCCTCGGCAGAAGCTGTCACTGCCAACCTGAAATCAGACAATTGGGAGTTGATAGAAAGGCATCTCCTAAGGTGTGAGAAGCACTGGATCACTATAGCCCATGGCAGCAAATAAGAGATTAGAGCAAGAGAAAGTTCTGATAGTACTTATCTTTTTGCTGTAGCTGACTTTGAAAGGTTTTAGTTAAATGACAAGTTGGTGTAATTTTTTATTCATATTAACATGTTATGCCCCAGCACAAACACACGCATGAACACAGGCCTATAGTCAAAGAGGAAGAAGAAGAAGAAGAAGAAGAAGAAGAAGAAGAAGAAGAAGAAGAAGAAGAAGAAGAAGAAGAAGAAGAAGAAGAAGAAGAAGAAGAAGAAGAAGAAGAAGAAGAAGAAGAAGAAGAAGTAGAAGTAGAAGTAGAAGTAGAAGTAGAAGAAGAAGTAGAAGAAGGAGGAGGAGAAGGAGGAGAAGGAGGAGGAAGAAAGGGAGAAAGAAAGGAAGAAAGAAAGGAAGAAAGAAAGGAAGAAAAGAGAAGAAAGAGAAAAGGAAAGAAAAAAAGAAAAAGGAGGTACTTTTGTATGATAAACATCCTACCTTTTTGTTGGTTGCATTAATGAGACTTGCACGCTGGCTTGAGCAAGAAGACGCAGAAGACATGTTAAGTTCACACTCGCGGCAACCTCCCTCGTCTTCCTCACACTAATGGTAGACCGTGAAAAATGTAAGCTACGTACTACATTACTAATACATGAGAACAAACTTACAAAAAAGAAGTATGGAATGATCTTGCCTCGTTTAATTTTTTTACTTACACTAAAAGTTGCTAATTACTAGAGTAGGTACTATACCTTGAATAATAACGTGATAGAATATATGTAAACTTACACGACAGGCGTTCTCTTTCCCCTCGTCGTTCTTTTTACTCTTCTTTTTCTTCTTCTTTTTCTCTTTCTTTGCTTTCTCTCTCAGTTCCTGTTTCTGTAATTCTTCACACAGCATCTCGAACTTGGAGTAACCCTGTTTGTCTTCTACGGCCAACTGAAAAAATATATAAACAAGGTATAGCATACAAAAAAAAATACTCAGATAAATGAACAAATAAAAAAATAATATGCTTCTCAGTGAAAATGAAAAGTAAAGTATCTATAATGTGATTTATAATGTTAGCCAAACATCCTCCACATTAACCCAATGGTGCCGGGTATGACGTGCTCATACGTGCTATGCCCACCGTGAGAACTTGTTTGATTGTTTTTACGCATAGATGGCAACACTTGTACTAAATCACCAATGAGCCAACTACCCTTTTCTTTGATTTACGAAATATTTTACGTTATCTTATTTTGCTGTTACTAATGTTAAAAAACATTATAAAAATTATAATGTTTATGATAAAAATAACACCATCGATTTTCATAGCACTAGTGAAAAATACGTTTTTCCCGCCATTTCAAATCAGGTGCTAGCAGAGCCATCTATCGGCAGACATTTCACGAAAAACATAGAAGGTGGGCACAGCATTTTCCCCATTTTTTGTTCATTTTCCCCGGCGGCATTGGGTTAATACAAGAAGTTTAATTTTATGTATGAAATAACATACATTTCAAAAAAATACTGTTACTGAATTTCTAGCAGCCTAAATTGGGAATAACTATCTTCTTGATTACCTTACTATTACAAGAATTTCAACCTAAAATAAAAATGCTTGAAAATTCTTATTAGATTTGACCTGGAACAAGAAGAATTTTCCCTAGCTTCTCACTCTCACACACGGCAGAAACACTCACATACTCCTTCCTCCCTCCCTCCCTCCCTTCCTTCCTTTCTTCCTTCCCTCCTTCTTTCTTTCTTTCTTTCTTTCCTTCCTTCCTCCCTTCCTTCCTTTCTTCCTTCCCTCCTTCCCTCCTTCTTTCTTTCTTTCTTTCTTTCCTTCCTTCCTTCCTTCCTCCCTCCCTCCCTTCCTTCCTTCCCTCCTTCTTTCTTTCTTTCCTTCCTTCCTTCCTTCCTTCCCTCCCTCCCTCCCTTACTCAAATTCACAATTTGACTGAATATGACTGTCTTGATCACTTGCAGAGTGACTGAGCCAGTGATTCACACACAACTTCAACATTTTCCCAGTTCTAAATTCATACAGTGATTTACGTACCTCAAAGTTTTTCTTAAGAGTGTCTACAGCTACATGAAATAAAATATCCCATGTCTGTTCCTCTTCTCGCATTCTGGTGTGGATTCGCTGGAGCCGCTCAAATAGAAACAGTCCTAAACATGTTAGCACTTCTTCCTGGGCAATCTCTAATGTTTTGGCATGTCGCTCTCGTCTGTAAAGACAGTAAATTAAATTTGATTTCATCAATATATATATACATATGTGTATATGTATGTGTACATATATATATGTATGTATGTATGTATATCCGTCCATCTATCTATCTATATAATACAAATATATAAAAATAGATAAATAAAATCTGGGAAAAAAAGCTACACACCTCCCCTGCAGCTCTGGCTCAGCCCGAATGATGAGGTGTGTCACGTAATCAGTGTCGGCTGGAACGTGAATATGTCTCTTGGCCTCACATCGTCGGATCCCTGAGTAAAGGGATGCCACGTATCCTTTTTCCTTTGCTGGATCTATACTTATATGGCCAACTAAGATATCAAAAGCTCTGTGTACCTTTAAGAAGAAAGAAGAAAAAATCTTTCATTATCTTATCTCACATTATTCACTTTCTTGATATTAATTTTTTTTCTCTCATTTCTCTTCTTTTTTTTTCCTTTTTAACAAAATAAAGGACACATCAGTACATAAAGTTCATCATCAAAAAAGTATTTTTTCTTTACAAAAATACTGTCCAAGAACTCATGTAACAGAATAACCCAGTCCAAGGCTCACCCAGTAAATACTTTTCAATATTTTATGCAACTCTGAAATACCTTAAAATCCAAATTTTCATGAACTGATACTAAAAATAGCTCTGATATCTTACTTTGTTCTTACACTCCTGGCAAAACCGGTGCTTGCGAAGGTAATTGTCAAGTGTGGTGAGAAGATGATCTGCGCTGACAAGTGTGACAGCATCTCGACACGTAGAATCCATCACCTCCCATGCATCCCGCCACGAGCAGCCCCCAGGCCTACATCTCACACCCTCCATTGAGTGGAATATACAACGACCAGATTTCTTCAGTTTTGGAATACTGTCAAGTACTGCACTTAGTGCCAACCTGTGAGGAAGAAATAATGTTCATATGACAGTTTATTTCATGTAGATCTTATCAACTAGGATTAAGTATGTGTAGGATATGCAGATGTTTGCATAGCTCATATATTTAGAAGAAAAAAAAAGGCACTATGGTATTTTGTTGTGTTCTGCTGTATATCTAACCCCTATAGCCATAAACCCTTTAGGTGGTAGAATTCTTTAATCATCTATATAAAATTTGTAATCAATACCATTCACTATTCATACTATGAAAATTATAAAGTACATGAAAGTTACTACTAATAGTAACTTTTTAAAGCAAATACATCAAACAATTCAATAAATAACAAACAACAAACTCACTCAGACTTGTATCAAACATGTCTGCAGCCCCATGAAACACATACAAAAAAAAGAGACAGGGCAATGTCATAACAAGCAAATTTCCAGTACTTACCCATGATCACTAAATAAAGCTCCTAAGGACCGAGCCTGTAAGGCATACTTCCTCAAAACTGTCAAGACACCATTGGAGTTCACCGCAAGAGGCTCCAGTGCAGGGTGACCGGATTCCTTCAACTGGTTGAAGAGTCTCTCCACACTGTTTGCACATGAGGGAAACTTGTTATCCAAGACATCAGATGTTGAAATTTTATTTGAATGAGCTTTATCTTTTATGGTGCAAATATTCTAAATAGAAATATATATATAAT